AAAACCTGTATCTTTCTTATTTTTCTTATATTTGAATTTAGAAGAATCACTTTTACTAAAAATTTTATTTTTTTTATTTATAAGGAGTCTTCCATATCTTTTAGATAAATGAGAAATTTCCTCATCAGAACTTAAACCATCAAAAACGAGATCCAATTCACCTTTATTCATAGGATTTTTCATCATTATTTTTTTTTAAAAGAAAAATAATTTTATTTTTCAAAAAAAAAAAAAACTTCCAAGGATCAACTCAATATGTAGAGGATGTTTTTGATACCACTTGTGAGTTGTACGCAGCAGAATGATTGTGAAATATAATATAGATAATTAACCTCGAAGGATGGTGAATAGATTTAACTTGCTCCTTTATCTAATTTTTACTTATTTTAATTTTACCAAAAGAAAACTAAAATCAAACTCACAAAACAAAAATAAAGTGCAAGTGAAGTAAATAGAGTTTGAGAGATAACACCAAGATTTTTAGCGAGAAAACCCTAATTGGTAGGATAGACTAATTGTTGTGGGAAAAATCTCGTGTACTGTGTAGTCGAGAGCAAAACGATCTACTATGTTTGAAGCAAAGTACACTGAACTTTGACTCAGGCTCACACCCTATCGTTTTACCAAAAACCAATCTCTAACAATCATTGGCTTTGCGACTCTCCTATCTAACAACTCTCGACCTCAGGCTTACTCTTGATCTCTATAGAAGAGTTGCAGGTAGATCAAATAACACTCCACGAATGCTTTGACCCGTTCAAAGTGTGATTGCTTCACCCATTTTCTTCAAGATCTGAATTTGATGAAGAATGAATGAATTATGCTTTTCGGAATTTCTGAATCTTCAATTATGCTCCAATTCTGATGAGATAGAGAACAACACTCCTAAATTACCCTTGTGTTTATGTGTGTGTTCTCAAAAAATAAAATAAGAAAAATCAGATTGATTTTCTGAATAAAAATATCTCTCAAAGATAGCTCTCAATTAGATCTGATTTTGTATGCAAAAAGCCGTGAAATCTTAATTGAGAAAACATGTTTTTATAGACTTTTGAAAACCTAATTGTACTTGAAAAACAAATCAATTTTATGCATAGGATTTTGGAAGGAAGTCTATACCAAATAGGAAGTTTAGACAGACCAGGAAACTAAAATCCTAAACTGTAAGGGAAGGCTTAACAGTTTGGAAAAATCCTGTTCTGGAAACTTTAAAGAAACATATAATGTATGTATAGTGTCTTAAGTGGGAAACAACTCCCTATAGTATTGTTCATACCTTTTTTTCGTAGATAATAGTTTATCAAACTTGAACAACTTTCTAATTTTGTAGCCGATCTTGATCTTAATATGGTAACTTGAAAATTACAACTTGATTGGACTCGTTTTGCCACCGAAATTAGCTAATTACAAAAATTATATCCCACAATCAAGTGTTGTTAGTCTCTCTGCTTTCATGGCAATTAGCAATGCAATGAAGCTTGTTTTGGGAACGAGGAATTTGAACGAGGTAAGGTGATGCCATGAAGTGAAAGGAGCAGGAGCTAGAGGATAGAAATGAGCCGCTATTGGATAGAGAGAAGAGGTTGAGGGAGAAGGCTGGTGATGAAGCGGAAGTTATGAATCGTTCACAAAGAACAAAGGGTAGCTTTGAATCCACAAAATTAAGAAAAAATTGCAGAGAATTCTTATATAATATTATTGATAATTGATTGAATTATAATTCTACTCTTTGCAGTACATATATTTATATATAGTTGAATAAGAAACTTGATCACTAAGAAACTTAAAAACTCAAAGAAGCTAAATATATCAAGAAACTACTTAAAATTAAACTCTCCCTAAAAGTTACCAAAAAAATATATATAAAATATATAAAGTAAAACCTAATAAAACTGTGAGTTGTGTTGTGAATAGGTGGGAGTTGAGGAATTGGTGTGGAGGAGGTTGAGATATAGCCCACTGATTGTTGGAATTAGGCTATCAAATGTGGCATGAAAGGTCTAGTTGATGAATTTCCACATCAGTTGAGTCAATCTGGGTTATCAAATGGATTGATCATATCGCAACCAATAGTCTAACCACATCATTGTATCAGTCCCACATCCCACCCTATGTTTGATCAACCCTCTGGCGATGTCTTTATGTTTCAAAAGCTGTCTCCAAATACCAGAATTGATCGAGACTTGTAGCTTTGACATTCCAATAGATTTTTCTCTTGATAAGGTAGTTGGGAACCGATAAAACCCATTGACTGTCATTTTTCTTGGAAAACAAATTTCATATATGTTTAAGGTTTGAAACTTTATTAACCATATGAAGGTCAGGAAGTTCAAGGCCACCTTGAGACTTAGGCCTGCCAACAGAGCCAAGCAATTTTTGCTTTTGTGTTTTTCAACACAAGTCCAAACCAAAGGAAAGCCCTTAGAATCTGATTAACCTGATCAAGAATCTTCATAGGCAAGAGGAAAGAATGGGACCAATAAGAATGGGTGGCAAGTAGAACAGAATTAAATGAGAGCACATCTTCCTGCAAATGAAAGGAAGTTTACCGTTGACGGCCATTATGTTTACTGGCATTGAACTTTTTTCGGGTTAAAGCAAAAAGTAACTAGACAAAGGACACCAAAGGAATTGAAGGAATGAGGCTATTGATGCATAAATCATTACTGTAATTATCTCAAATATTCTGACATGATTTTCTGCAAGATATTGAAGGACTGAATTTAATGGTGTATACAGGCATTCGCTCAACAAACACATATGTTCAATAACAGTAGTAATCTGAAGTCCTAGGTTCACAATTTAGCTAATACCACCATACAAAGACTATCAATAAATTATGAGAGCTAAATGGGTAATACAACTCATAACGAGAGTAAGGTTGTTAAAATCGAAATTTTAAGTAGAATCGTTTTGAACTCCGTAGAATCGAAATCGTAAAATTCAACCAACATGTAAAAAAATAATTAAAATTAGTTACTTAAATCAATAATATGTGTAAAATTTAGCAATAATAAGGCCAAAAAAAAAAAAAAAAAAAAAAAAAAACAAAGTATAAAAATATTATTCTAAAGTCTGAATATAATATAAAATAAAAATCAGAATGAAAAAAATAATTCCAACCAATGTGTGATGGGCATTTTTTTTTTTGTGAAAGGTTATAAAAGTTTTATAAATAATAAAGAGATATATGTATATAAGTTACAGGTTCGGTTGAAGCAAATTGGCCCAAAGGTCCCAAAAAAAAAATACAAATCAGTGGCTTTTTTCCCAGAAATATTCTAGACGTGGATAATGTACATAAGCGCTACAGCTTGGGCCGAAGTAAACTTTCCAAAGGCCCAAAAAAAACATACAAATCAGTTCTAGAGGAGGATATTGATACCTCACCTAAACAAAAGCACACTTAACGGTGCAAGATAAAGTGTGATTTGACTAGGCACACTACCACATGCTTGTCGGCAACCAGAAAAAAAGAAAAGAAAGATGCTTCCCATATATCGTCATCACTTAGTGGGGGTGGTTTAGGTGGCGGCAGATATGTAGCAAAGCCATTTTCCCATTCCTTCATAGCCAGGTGAGCCTCCAATCGTGTCTCTTTGCAAGATGCTTTCTTATTTTATATCCCAACCATCAAAAGAAGGAACCAGTCAACAAAAAAAAGGGTTTCAAACAAGAAATCAAGTGGAATCGCATAGAATCGTGCGATTCTATGTACGATTTCACTGATTTTTCCCCGATTTTACTAAAGACGCTATTTTGTTACGATTTAAATTGATTTTGAATTTTGAGTCTTACAATTCAAAATCGAAATTTTAACAACCATGACATAGGTGTTGTATGCCAGGTAATGAAGTGATTACTTAAGCCCTTCTTAAATTCAATTCCCACCGTCTGTTGCGTTAAATATCACCACAAATTTGACAATATCTAATGGCATTGAGCTTAGAGATGATGGTACATAATACATTTTCTATATGGGTAAGTTCATTTAACTATCACTAATACATTTTTATGTTTCTTCATTGAATAGGCATAAATGGAATCTTTCTAAAGATTACACAGCTAGAGAGAGAGTGTGTGTGTGTTCTAAACGGGCTGTGCTTCTTGTGGTGTAAGAAGGTGTAGAGTGTGAGCATTCCTTTCTTTGTTTTTCCTTGGCATGATTGATTCCGCTTTGATTACTGGAGAAGGAAAAAAAACAAAAAAACACTCTTCAAAAATTTGTTTGCTCGACAAAATTTTGAAAACTGTGGGTTGAAGAAAAAGACTTATTAAATTCGTAAAATATTTTCTTTTTAATTCTCTTTTGGAGTTCTTGAAATAATTTTGTCTTGCCACATCAAATTATGACATGGAAACTTTCACAAGCCACAAGAAAATCACTTGATTGTGCTACAACAAAATCCAACTTACACAATTTGCAACTTCAGTTAGAGAAGTTATATGTAAGGCCAAGGGGCATGTTTGGCTGGACAAAATGATAATGGTGTGTTTGAGTAGACAAAACATTAAGACTTGTTTGTTTAAACAAACCTATTGCCATAATTATTTGATGAGCTTTTTCTCACTTTTTAACTTTACCAGTCCATATAATTCAGAGCACATATTAGTACGTGGAAAGTACTTGACGACTCTCGTTTTCTGATTAAGCGCAAGCTGTTAGGATTGTTAATTTACGAAAGTTAAAAGTTTTATTTTTTATTTTGTTCGAAGTTTGTTTAGTGATAAAATCATGACTTCTTTTGCATGAGAGCAAGGAAAAAACATTTTACCTTTCATCGTTGTGACAAATTAAATCATGCCTTTTAACACTTTAAACACACGACTTTTTGGTGACAAGCATTCGGTTGTTGAAAGAGGCCTATTTTATGTTGCTAAAACAATTCTTTGTGGTTAAATTGAGATAAATTTGTCCAAAGGTGTATTTTAAAAATAGTATGAAATAAGCTGGGAAAAAAAAAAGACTAATCAGAACACTGGAGATTATATAATGCCACCAATGGAATTAACTTCATTAAGACAACATCAATATTGAAAACTACATAATTTGGAATAAATAGTAATGCATAGCAAAAATGATCAAAATAATGAAGTAGACAATTAAGTACTATTTATGATAAAGGGATAGTACAGAATATATTGTTTGTATCAATGTAAGTGCAAGCAGAATAATTGCAGCGGTAGTAGAAGTCGCTCTCCATGGAGTGCTGAAATAATCACGTTTCAGTAGTGCCTTCCAATTGGGCCACCGACGCTTGCAATATTCATTAAGTTCTTCACTCATACCAGAAAAGTAATAGTTGGGACACCAAAAAACCACTTCCTTGGTGAGATTATTATAGAGACTCGCCACTTCTGAGGTATCGCCTAGATGGTTCTCGAAAATTCCATTTCGGATAAGTAAATCAACGTCTTCAGCAGAGTCAATAAGCTTATCCATGAAATAGATATAATCGATTATGTAACTATCGTATGGATATTGACATTGCTCAAGCGCCGCGAGGTTTCTGAGTAATGGTTCTGTCCAATTACATAAGATCAAGGGGGGGATTTTGAGCTCTTTCATGTCATGTTTTATGTCGAGCAAACGATTGCTTGAGCCCTTCTTAAATTTCATTCCTGCCGCTTGAAGGTCTGTTGCATTGCGTATGGGCACAAATTTGACTTTTAAATGAGGTTTTGGCCTTAGAGATGATGGTAAGTGACATGACCTCAACAAATCAACAAAATGCTTTATTTTGCTGGAACTTGAAAATAATTGTGTGGAGTTAGAACTGACAATACCAGCATCTGCAAAGTAGGCAATTGAAAGCTTGAGGAAGGACTGGACTTTCCGTCTGCGAGTGGAATGGAAGAGTAGTTTGTACAGACGTTCAAGAACGAAGAAGGGAAGCTGATTTTCAATTAATATCATGTCCTGAAATAGATCATTCATCCGAATATGCCTGTTTAAGTAATCCGTACCGTCTTCCAAAGAGGTATCATACCTACGAATGACCTCAATGGTGAAACTTCCATCCAAAAGAATCATTTCCACAAATTTATCACTGCTAAGCTTAATGCTTTCTGCATAACAACCGCGAGCCTTCTTTTCCAACATCTTTACCTCTCCTACACAGCGCTCCATATTCATGCCGCTGTTACTACTGTTAAAGAGCGACTTCAAGCATCTAACTTTATGTTCTTCCATGGCCTGCAAGCGTTTTTTGCCACGATGAAGTGGACCGATGGAAACCACCTGAGGTGTGTAAGCCTTTTCATTCGTTTCACGAAGTCTCTCGGGAACTCTAAAGATGCAACAACTGTTTGATAGAGGAGTCAGACCAGTTATCATTTTTTGAATTTCAATTGAAACCTGGTCATTCCCATGCCTTCTTGTGTTGCCCCTTCTTGCCATCGTTTTGTTTTCCTAATGGATTAACATAAGAGCAACAAAGTACACATTAGGCCATGGATTAACATGAGAGCAACGAAGTAAACATTAGGCGCATTATATATTGTTGCTTTACATATGCTGCATTTAATGGACAAGGGAGAAAAAGATAATTTATATATTTTGAAATTTTGTTTTCTTTCTTTATCTAGGTTGTTAAATATTTTATATTTTATGTATGTATGTGTGTGTATATATATATATGAACAATACGCAATAATATAACTCAGATTTAACTTCAAATATGTTTTTTTAAAAAAATTCTTCTTTCCTTCTCTTATATTTAAAATTCAAAATAATTATGCCACATCTCCTCACCAGTGAGGAGACTCCAATACATCTTCAAGTAAGGAAGTCCAATTAATTATCAATATGCTTATATATCATCATTGGATACTCACACTTCGGTGTTTAGCAAAGGTTTAAGTCAAGATTAAGGTCGAGTCGGGTGAAGTGTGTAAAATAACTTGTCAAAAATTAATGAGTAAATTATTTTTGTTAAATTTTAATATTATTTTACTTTCGTAAATATTTTTCGACAACCGAAAATCCAAAAATAAAAAAATATTTTACGTCAAAACAAACATAGCTAATAGAAGATGTAAATTTTGATTCGATGAGCCTTCATGGATCATGTAGAAGCACATAGTAGAATGTTAAACAGCAAAAAATGTAATATGAATAAAATTGAGAAAGAATTAAGAACCAGAAACCCATATGTATGTTATAATAGCAACATGTATTAATGAATCAAAACATTCAATTTTCTTCATAATATTATTCTGTTAAAGTAAATAGCAGAATATTATCTAACAAAATAACAGTACGAAACTATGCAAACTTAGATCAAGAAGTTCATGCGATCATTTTGGATGGAAATCATAAACAGTCATAAAAGAAAGAAAAGTAACTGCAACATACCTGTGTGTGCGTGAGAGAGAGAGAGAGAGTGGAACCTGTTTTCCAACTAGAAAGCAAGGTATGCTGAGAAGATTAATGCACCAAATGAACGCTTTTAAACTATCCGTCCAACGGAGAGAACAAGACTTGGCCTCGATCGCTATAGTGTTGACTCGAATAATCAACTGCAACGCGCGTGTGTGGCTAAAACTAGCCTTGCTAATTCAAGAAGTTGACTAATAAGACTACTGGAAAGTACTACCTAACAGAGTTAGGACTAATTTGCCAAGAAAGGTCCAAGTACTATGTTTTTCTTTTTCCATGGAAAACGTGGGATGATTCGAGAGAGAAATGGTCATCACGTTTTTTAAAGAATAGTACTTAAGTCATCACTGGTAAGAATTTGATGTGGATCAATAATAAATTGACTTGTAATTTTTAATTACCAAATAAAAAATGGTGAGTAGATTTTTACTTATCAAATGAGAAATAGTGATTTAATTACCATATATGATTTAGTAATTAAAATATAATGTATTTATTTATTATTGCTCCACATCAGTGATGAGTATGCTATAGATCTCACTAGTGAGCATTTAAGTATTGTCTTTTTTTTCTTCTTCTTCTTTTTTTTTTTTTTTTTTTTTTTTTTTTTGATAGTTTTAACCTTCTGCCCAATGAACTTTTGACTTTATATGTGTACCGTCTGTGTTTATATATATATATATATATATGTAATTATATGGGTATATATGCTGGTATGTGGTGTAGGATTAAGCACAAATAAAAAAAAAAAAGAGGGGGGGGGGGGGGGGGGGGAATAAAAAGAAAACAATGGGTGGGACTCACTATCACTCTTAAGTGGTCATAAGACCACTATTCATGGTCTGTATCTCTCTTCTCCCACTGCTCTCTCTCTCACGCCCTTTCTGTTTTTTTTTTTTCTTTTCCTTTTCAATCAAATTTTAGAACTTAATTTCTCCCTCATCTCTTAGTGTTTTTAAGTGTCATTTGAGGCAAAACAAAGCCCACGACGAGCTCTACGCGCTAGTGTAAGCAATTTCAGTTCGATTTGGTGCTTCCTAGGGAGTTCGAAATTAGAGACCCACTTTCAAGGGTTTTGTTCAATTTAGAGGTAAGGGCTCTTAATTCACAATTTTCTTGCTCCTATGTGAATTATATCTTTTAAATTATTGCAGGACATGCTTATTTGTGCTAGTTGTAGTTTAAAAGTAGTTAGAACATGTGTATGTGGTTATGTGAGAGCCTGTATTAAATGTTTTATGTGGAAAACTTACCTATGTGATGATTTATATATGTTCGTTAGGCTAGATGTATTGTTGTATAAGAGCATGTTGAAATTCTTTGAGAAATTCTTGTGAAATTATGCCTTGCTTACTTAAATTGAGTTGGTTGTGGAATGATGAGTATATTCATGGTACTGATGCACTCATGCACTTACATTGGGCATGAAATGGGAGAAATTGTTTTGGAACAAAAAGGAAAAATTTTGGGAAAGTAATTTGATGGAATGGTTTTATGAAAAACCCGGTCACCGCGGGGGTACCAAAGGGCCGGTAGGTTAATGTAGCCTAGAGGGAATTAGGGAGTCGCCTTAGCGTGGTTGAGCTGTCTGGGCCCCTCGATGACATTGCGGGGTTACCAATGGTCTAGGTACAACAGCCAATCCTTCTCTCGGCGCTGAGGGGTTACCAAAGGGAATTACATTAACAGTTTGAAAGTGATGGTTTTGGAAATAAAAATGGGGAGCGACATCGGCGTGCATTTTGCATTCCATGGCATTACATTATTTATACTTGAGTTGGTTGGAATGTTGTATTATCCCGACCTTGTATGATCCCCATTCCTATTGATCTATTCTTTGTATGGATTCACAAGGATACAAGATGCGTGTCTTAAGTGCTACCTACTGGGCTTTATGCTCACCCTACTATTTAATAATTTGGATTAAAAGACTTCTTTTTGTTATTTTTGTATTAAGTCCCATATTTTTGTAAAATCTTAGTTTGTTATATTTGGTTTAGAGATTTGTGAAACTCTTGTTATTGTAACTATATTTTAGGACTGTAATTATGATAATTGGGATTAACTGGTATATAGATGTTCCACCATGAGATGAGCCATGTTGAGGTATAATGAACGGATGGATGGAATGTTGGAGTATGTTAATTGTATTTTTGTTGGGACAGGTTAAAAATACATTTAAACAGGTTGTTGTAGGACGAATTTTAGTGAAGGTCATGCCGATTTTTTTTTAAAATTTTGGCATCAGTTAGGGTTGTTACAAATTTGGTATCAGAGCGATGGTTCGAATACCGTTAGGACGACGGGTAGAGGCTTACCTAGGGTTGTCTCGGAAGTCATTTGCATTATTATTTCCTTATTTGCAAAAGGGTTTTGCTATGTGAAAAGGCATGCTTAACTGTTTACTTGCTTACGTGCTTATGTGCTTATATGCTTATATTAATGTGTTCATTGCATAGTATTACATGCTAAATGTTTGTACAGTATCTTTTTGCGTTGGGTTGTTCACAGTTGGACCTTAGTGTTATCGTTATTGAATTGTTTTCTTTGTTTTGTAGAACGATGTCACGGCGTGAGGAAACCAGGGAAGTTGGCCCTAGACCGACTAGAGGTGATGTTGGCAAGAGCTCCAGCTCCAATCCGGAGGAGCTAAATGATGAGGACACACTTCTTAAGGACTTGATTCCCCCGAGAGTTGTCCCCACAAGGAGGGATAATGTTGAAGCACCCGTAGAAGTGGGTGAAGGTTCTGTAGCACTGGAGTTGAATCGTTTGTTGCAAAATGCCATGAGGGCAACGATTGCTGCTCAGTCGCAGTCGGCACCACAACCTACAGTTCAAGTTGAGGAGACGCCAGCTCAAAAGCGTCTCATTAAGGGGTTTTCTTAGCTGATGCCGGTTATGTTTGAGGGCGGTGTGGATCCAATGGTAGCAGATGACTACCTGGATCAAGTTGAGACTCAACTAATTTCAATGGATGTGATGGAGGATTATTTGAAGATCATCCTAGCTACTTATAAGTTTCCTAAGGATGCCAAACTATAGTGGAAGTCGGTTACGAGCCGGTACAAGGTAGAGGAGATGAGTTGGGATAAGTTCAAGGAATTGTTTTATGAAAAGTATTTTCCAATTTCTAAAAGATGGGAGCTAAATGACCAGTTTCATAACCTTATTCAGGGCAATATGTCGGTGGCGGAATATGAGACCAAGTTTACTTCACTTTCTCGCTTTGATCTAGAAATGGTGAGAGATGAAATTGACAAGACTCGGAAGTTTGTTTTTGGTCTTAATGATTGAATGAGACCGTTGATCACAGCACAGTTCATTAAGGTTTATTCTGAAACAGTGGAAATGGCTTTAATATTGGAGGCTGACATTAAAAGTAAGAATGCGAGAAGAGAACAGTGGAAGCAAAAAAGGGGTGCAGGGCCATCTTCAGAAGGATCTTCTTGGAAAAGGAACAGGGGCGGTCTATCTTAGTTTCAAGGGCAGTAGTCTGCACGATTCGCTCCTACTACTCCTTTGCCAGCTGGGTCTAATAGGAGTGGAGTCGTTTATTTTCAGTGCCAGCAGCCTGGACATTATAAGTTCAGATGTCCTATGAACTCGACCACAGTTTCTGCGCCATCGAGAGCTTGTTATGGGTGTGGTCAGTAGGGCCATCTGATTCGGGATTGTCCTACTCGAGGAGCTGGCACCGGTAGTGGCAGAGGGTCACAGCAGAGGCCGTCACAATCGGCTACAGTTCAGTCAAGTTTCAGACCGCCACTACCACAGCCTGCCATGTCTTCTCAGGGTTCACGACCAGCTAGGAGGGATACGCCTACTGTGTTGGCACAGCAGTCTGGTGTTCAGATTAGTAGTTCACAGGCATAGGCACCGCAGGGATGTGTCTTTGCACTTGCACCTACTGATACATCTTCTGGATCTTCAGTTCTCCGAGGTATATTTCCAGTGTTTGGTTGTTGGGCCCGTGTTTTATTTGACTCTGGTGCATCTCATTCCTTTATATCATCATCATTTGCACTTGCATTGGGGTTAAAGGTCAGTTTTATGGATCGGGTATTGTATGTTGATACGCCAGTTGGGGTTTCAGTGTCTTTGAGCTAAGTTGTGAGGGATTGTTCCATTGTGATAGCTGGACGGACTTTTGTGATTGACCTTATCCTCCTGGAGATGACTATCTTTGATGTCATTCTCGGGATGGATTGGTTAACTTCCTTTCATACCACGATCGACTGTTTTAGAGGGAGAGTCACAGTTTGCACTTCTGAGGGAGACTGTTTCTTTTTCGTGGGAGATCGGAGTGATTCACACATTTCATCATTTTATGGAGTTCGTGGACGGAGTCGTGGTGATTATTTCTTGGCTAGTCTTCTAACCGAAGAAGATGATGTTGTGAAAGAGAGTTACCCTATAGTTGTTCGTGATTTTCTGGATGTGTTTCTGGAAGATTTAACAGAGTTGCCTCCACACCGAGAAGTGGAGTTCTCTATTGAGTTAATGCCAGGTACCGCGCTAATTTCTATGGCACCGTATCGTATGGCACCAGTTGAATTGGAAGAATTAAAAAGGCAGTTTGATGATTTGAGGATGAAAGGTTTCATCCTACCGAGTGTGTCACCAAGGGGCGCACCGGTTTTGTTTGCTAAGAAGAAAGATGGTTCTTTGAGGTTGTGCATTGATTACCGGAAGTTGAATCGTGCCACCATCAAGAATAAGTATCATTTGCCAAGGATAAATGATTTGTTTGATCAATTGAGAGGAGCCAGTTGTTTTTCGAAGATTGACTTGAGGTCAGGCTATTATCAGCTGCGGGTCAGGGATGAGGATATCCCAAAGACGGCGTTTCGCACTCGGTATGGACATTATGAGTTCCTTGTTATGCCATTTGGCTTGACTAATGAGCCAGCGGCATTCATGGACTTGATGAACCGCGTCTTTCACGATTACTTGGACCAGTTTGTGGTAGTTTTCGTGGATGACATTCTCGTGTATTCACGATCTCAGGAGGAACATGAGGTCTATTTGAGTATTGTTTTACAGATTTTGCGGGAGCACCGATTGTATGCCAAATATGAGAAATGTGAGTTTTGGCTCTAAGAGGTGAAATTTTTGGGGCATGTTGTTTCAGAAGGTGGAGTG